TGGCTTTGCTCTTAAAGACACACATGGTAGGAAAGAGAGAGAGCACCTCCACTCCAAACATACTTTGCACCATGCTTATGTGTCAGACACTATTCTAAGGCCTCATGAGTATTACTGCAATTAATCCCTGGTGTACCCTACAAGGTAAATACCATCAGTAGCTGTTTTACAGGTGAGTAAACTGAAGCACAGAGAGGCAACCTGCTCAAGACTACTCACTGGCATAGGCTGTATGCTTTAGCCAAGACTTTGAGTTCACCCACTAGTGGGATAGAAAGGAAAAAAAGAAAGCAAGAACATTTTGGGCCAGGTGCACAGGGCATACCAGGCTGGGCTCCACACTGCCTGGCCCACTTCCTCCTGCACCTATGATGGGTGCTGTGGAGGTATGTAGGGAGTGTTGCTTTTCCTGCTGACCTCATTCTGGAGTTAGGGCACCTGGTGGTAGTCTCTAGTTGTCCATTGACTCTCCAATTATACAAGTACAATGATGCCCTTGGAGCAAATCTGGAAAGTCAGCCCTCATCTCATGGCTTGTGACACCCTTCCCTCCATGGGAAGACCAGTCTCTGTTGGTCCTTGTGTCCATATAGTCACCTTCACACTGCTCTAGTTTTAGCTTTGCACCCTGCTAAGTTCATCATAGGCAACTGCCCATTTTAACTGTGTCCACAGGTCTTATGAAAGTAAATTCTCTATGTCCCTCCAGGGTACCCAGTCCCATTTGTGGATTTATCTGCTTCTTTTTGTTTTTATTTGTATGAAAATTCATGTATTCTTTCATCTTTAATAAATGATAAACTTACTTGTACTTATATCAAGGAATTGTTTTAAAATAAATTTCTTATGATATACTATCAATATATACTACTTCTTTTATGCTTCTAAAAACTTATGAATTATTAAGGGATTGACTTATTAAGGACTTAAACTATGCTCATTAAGTCACTTGAGTGTGACTTTTGGGTAGGAAACAGACTTCTTTGTTCAGAACCTCTGAAATAAATTAAAATCCTGTTTAGAGAGAAACTGCTTCGGCACCGTGGAGAGCACCTAGGCTTCATGGTCCTGAAAGCAGGACCTGTGGAAGAGCAGAGTTCCAGTGTGGGTGTTTGTGTGGTCACGGTCAGTCCTGGTCTTTCCATCCTCTAGCTCCTCACTGCCCATCATAAGAGCCATGCTTAGTGTGCTCTCTGTGTGTAAGGGCTGTGAGAGTCCTTGTCCTTTTCCGCTCTTACTACCTGGAGAAAAAACTCTGGCCTACAAAAGAAACAAGACCAGAACACTCAGCTCTTGGACCTGTGCACTTGTTGAATTTCTCATCTCTCTTTCCTGTGTGGGTGGAATAGTGTCATTCCATGTGCAGAAGGCCTCTCCTACTCATACCTCAGAATGAGTCTCATTTTGGAGGCTGGGCCTTGAAAGGGGATTATATTGATATGATGTCACTAGGGTGAACACTAACCCAATATGACTTTCTTGTAAGAAGGGGAATTTTGGACATAGAACAGGAAAGATGATGTGCACACTCAGGGAGAAAAATTGCTCTCTATAAGTGAAAGCCCCTGGCAGATACAGCTAGTTCTGCCAGCTGAGACCTTACTGAGGACTGAGATGGGGGCTGGCAAGACGGCTCAGCTGGGAAAAGAGCTTGTTGTACAAACCTGATGACTTGAGCTTGCTCCCCAGAACCCATGTAATCCCAGCATTTCTATGTCAAGTTGGGAGCTGGAGACAGGAGAATTACCCAGAAGCCTGAGGGGCAGGTGGATTGGAGTACACAGTGTGGTAGAAACAACAGGAGAGACCCTGCCTCAAAGGTAGAAGGAGAGAATTGACTCCTGAAAGTTGTCCTCTGACTTCCACGTGTGCTGTGGCACATGCATACCTGTATTTATACCACACACACACATACACACACCCCAGTACTAATAAATAAATTTTAAAAATTATAAAGACAATTGTGAGACAATAGTATTCTGTTTAAGCCACTAGTCTGAGGTACTCTGTTTCAGTGTCCATGGTAAGTGGATGGTCCTTTTTTGTCTTCGTGCCATCTACCCGTCTCTTTACCACAGATGTTCAGTCCCACTCCATGGTAGCCATGTAGTGAGGGTCATAGTGGAAAAGTATTCCAGGCAGAGGAAGAAATTGTGCAAAGGCCCTGAGGCAGGAAAAGGTTAAACTGTTGGAGGTACAGGGATCAGGACATTGTGGTCAGGCTGCCTAGATCAGAGCTGGAGAGGTGAGCAGGCGTCTATTCCCAGAGGTGTTCAACTTTTAGGCTGGCATTCATCGTGCCTGGCTAGTTTCTTCACTCCCATCTCCCAATACTCATGTGTGGAAAGGGAGAAGCAGGATCCAGCCCAGCAGAGTCTGCTGCCATCAGTACCCTTTGTTTCTTTCAGGCACCTCGCTCTACAAACACAGCTCCCTTGCTACCGCCAGAAGCAGTAGGAAAAAATCAGAAAATAGAAAGATGAGGGAGACGGCGAATCATCCCTTCCAGCCCCTGCTGAGCATGCAGAGTGAGGGACATATGGAAATTAATATATTCGTCTCCGATAACATGGTTTTCCTTGGCGTTTTGATTAAACGCCGACGGTTATTAAATACCCTGCTTCTCAGAGCTCATCTCTGAAAGCCAATGTTGCTTTTCATTTTGAACTCTGATGAACTGTCTCGTGCTGCTTGCACACCTCGGCTGAGCTTTGGCGGACTGCAGGCTGGTGTTGGAGGAGGATGGAGAAAATCAATATGAAATGTCAGACAGGAGGTCAGGCTGCATTGGCTTCCCCAGCTGGCAGAAGCTGGGGCCTCAGTGGCTTCAGAACAAAGGGAGATGTGCCCTGAAGGAGGTCGGCCTTTGGCCTAGTCAGGAAAATGAGTCCTACTTCTTCTTAATTAGATTAACAGGCTGGTATATCTTGCAATGCAGACCTGGGCTGGGCTGTGGTGGGTATGGGCAGGCTTGGTGAAGACTTGCAGGACATTTGATAGCTTCTGGATCTCCCCAGGGACTGCTCTCAGGGCTTTGGTCTTGTAGGGCTGTGTGGGGCCTAGGATGGAGGGAGGAACAGACCCCGGGGCTCCCTGGGTTTTTCTCCTGACTGATTTCTTGCTTCCATAGGCCCGGTGACTCTTCCTTATCCTCTCCCCACTTCTCAGTCAGTCTTTACACTTCCATCAGCAGTCAGTGCTTTGTTAGGATCTGTCACACCCACTCCCAGCACTCAATGACTCTCTTCACACCAGTAGGGCTCTATTTGCTATTCTCTAATGTCTCTAGTATAACACTCCTCAGTGTACCTAATTTTCTGTGTTAACTTGACTGGTCATGGGGCACTCAGATACTTGGTCTGATATTATGGGTGTTTCTGCAAGGGTGTTTTGGGATGAGTTTAACATTTAAATGAATAGAATGAGTAAAAACTGACCTCTTAACATGGGTGGGCTGCACCCAATCAGTTGACGGCTTGAATGGAAGAAAGAGCCCTCCTGTGAGAGGCAAGGCAATTCTCCACCTGACTGCTTTGGGGCTAGGACACTTCTTTCTCCCTTTACAGTAGAACTGAAACATTGAGTCTTCTTGGATATTCAGACTGGGGGCCTTTGGAGAGGAACACCACCATCTCTCCCAGAACTTTAGCTTGCTGACTGTAGATCTTAGGACTTGTCCACCTTTATGCTCATGTGAGCTGATTCCTTACAGTACAACTCTTTATACACACCCCCACCTGTTGGTCCTGTTTCTCTGAGGAAGCCTGACTAACATAGTGAGGAGAGAGAGAGAGAGAGAGAGAGAGAGAGAGAGAGAGAGAGAGAGAGATATCTATTTTTGATCATCATTGTGTCTCTAGAGTTGGATACAGGCCTGGCATATAGTATGTGTTCAGCAAATATGAATCAAATAAATGAACAATGGGACCTCCTGTGCTTGGCAAAATGGCAGGGGTTCCAAGTACCTTGTAGCTTCAGGCCTGGGGTATGGGATTCTGGAGGAATAAAAGTGATAATCCCGATGACCATCTATTGCTCCCCTTGCCCATGTCCAGAGGACGCTAGCATCTTACACATGCTGATACCTGTCTCTTGTGCACACCAGCCATGTGGGGACCTCTGTAGGACTCAGGAGGATTGCCTGAGGTCATAGAGACACCAAGCATCTTAGCTGAACTCTGGTTCCAAAGCATCTTCTTTAAACCATTCTCATTCCCAAGCCTTCTAAGATCTCATCCATTCTCCAGCCTGAGTCCCAAGATCTGCAAAACCTTTAGTTTATAGTCTATTCCCAGCGTTCAGGACCTATGTGAGCCTGTCTGACTCCATGGCCCAGGCTATTATCTGCTACACTGGCTTTGAGAACACCAGGTCTTCTTGGCTCCCTTTGGAATGTCTCTAGTTCTTAGTAGATTCTTTAGCTAGTGCTGAGAGAGAACCTGTTCCTTGAGGCAGCTCATGTCACCTCACAGTCAGCAGGTCCCAAACTGAACACTGGTGCTTCACTCCTAGCCTGACTTCCTGTAGCTCCCCTGGCATAGGCCATCGAGCACCCTTCCCTTCTCAGTCCCAGCTCCTATCCCTATCCTCCTATCCTCTTCCTCCAGCCCTTTCTCTTTCTCTTCCCTTTCCTTTCCCTTTGTATTTTTTTCTTTCAGCCTCCCACATGGTCCAGCAAGTCTGGTTAACTCTGCTGCTGAAATCTATCTAATTCTCTGCTGTCCACCTCACCTCCTTCTCCACACCACCCTTTAAGATAAGTCAGATCAGCTTGCAGTGCTACACCCTTGTTGGCAGGGTCTCCTCTGCACATGTGTGCTGCAGAACTGAACACAGAGTTTCCACTTCTCTGAAACATTAAATCAGGGCTGACTCTTGAGTCAGTTAATGCTTGCTGTGGTTTCTTTGCTCCCAGTGTCAAATGAGAGGGAAACCTTCCAGGGCCCCCACATGCCAGCGGTCAGGGTACCTTACCCCCGACACCCTTCTTTTGTACTCACACTTGGTGTGCCTGTCACACAGGGCCGATGCCCGCATGTCACACAGCCGGATTGTCCCTTTGCTGCTGCTGTACACAAAAGTGTTGCAGTGGTGGGGGTGGAACTCGGCTGCAGTGATCACCTCCGTGAGCTCCTCCATGTTGGCTGGCTTGATGTCCACGATATCTGGCACAGACAAGTCAAGGAGGGAACCAGGAGAAGGGGTGGAGCTTGGGGGTTCACAACAACCCCTTCTATGAGTGTAACGTACAAGGCGGATCTCTGTACTGTTAGCAGAGAAAGAGGTTGCAGTGATTTCCAGAGCTGAGGCTCAGGGCTTTAAGAAAACAGGTGAGGGATGCCCAGTAGTCAGAAGTAGCATTAGATCTTAGGTCTAAGCTTGGCATGATGGCTAAGGACTCTAATTACAGAACTCAGGAGGCTGTCTAGTCTGTGGTACCAGGTGAGTTTCAGGCCAGATTGGGCCATAGTGTGAGAAACTGTCTCAATGCCCTTCCCCCAACAAACTGTCAGAACTCAGGTTTCCTGACTCCTTATCACTGTTTTGTTTTCTGTGACCTGTAGAAGACATCCATGCAGGAGGAGAGTTACCTCTCCATGCAACCTTGCTAGAACATTTTATAATAGCAGTTAAGGAATTAGGCCCATTCCAGCCAAATTGTTCAATTTATTTGAATTCTTACCAGAATCCCTGGGTTGATAAATGGCTTCTGCAATAGGCTTCAAATCCCCTTCCACAATCTCTCTATGCCTTGCTTCACATCTTGATAGTAACAATAGCTAACTGATGTCACTCATTGAGCATTTGTCAAAAGGTCATTCAGTGTGCATATCCTATACTTCATCTTTATTTAATCCTTACAGACATGACCAATCACATCTTTCTTACACCCATCTTTCCAGGGTGGAAGTGGAGGCTCTGTGGGCATATAGTAAGTTGTCTTGAAGACATAGCTAGTGGGCTGGCAAGATGGCTTAGTGGGTAAAGGTGCTTGCCACCAAACCTGATGATCTGAGTTTGATTCCTTGGACCTACATGGTAGAAAGAGAGAACCAACTTCCACAAGTTGTTTTTTGACAACCACATGTATGCTGTGGACCATACCTATCTACACACACACACACACACACACACACACACACACACAAATAATGTTTTTTAAAAAGGAGACATGGTTAGTGAGTATCAACAATAGGACTACTCCAGGTACAAGGCCTGGGAGGTTTCATAGTTATGAAATTCCTGTCACTTAATATTTACAGGTCTTCTAGTCTCCATAAGCTGTGATTTGATAGAGCTTGGGTACTTGGGTGGGAATTGAAACATCAGGACAAAACCATGTATATGTGTGGTGAGAGAGATTAGGCTCCTCTGGAACATACTCTTAATTTTAGCATCTAGGTTCTGATTACCCTCAATATTTTCCTTTCTGATCAAGGAAATATATGTATATATTCAAGGCCACATCCTTGTATATCAGAATAAAACAATCAGCCTTTTGTTTTTGAAGGCAATTCAATGAAAATGAAGCAAATTCTTTCTGAAGGGCATGTGAAAGGGGTGAAGGAATGGGTTGGACAGATCCCGTCATCTCCCTAACCAGGAGTGTAGGAGGCCCTGGCTGGGGCTGAGATTCTGTAGAACCCCATCCTGTAGAGGACCAAGCTTTGTCACAAGGGAGCTGGTGCACAGCAAAGCTGAGTGAGGAGATCTGCACCTCCCTGACTCCACCATTTCCATACTTCATCTTTGTGATTTTTGCCCCATGTATGTATCATCAGGTTGTAGTTTTATTATTATTTTTAACTTAACATGTTTTCCTTTAGATTGTCTTTAAAATGGCCTTCTTCTTCATCTCACCTAAACAGTAAGCCAATGTTCACAAAATGATGGTTTAATCATTAGCTTGAAAGTGAAACGAATGCATAACGATTAAAATGAAAATATATGGACAAGGGAAATGTATGAACAAGCCATAGCTAGACACAGACCATCCTCCAGATGTGTTTCACTAGGCAAGTGCCACTTCCCTCCTTGGCTTTTCAACAAACAGGCTCATATTTTTAGTATTAGCAACACCAGTAAAGTAGCCATGCACTAGCAAATATCACCTGGTTCCTGCTAGACCTATTGCTACACTCAACCTGCTGCAACAATGGCTTTGCATCTGACTGTGCCTCTTTCTCCTTTCATTATCTCTTAGAAAGAACCTTGTTGGGTTCTTTCTAAAATTAGTTTGAGACTGAGCTGACATTACATTTAGGTACAATTTTCTCTACTAAATCCAGATGCAAAGATCACTTGCTTCTCTGGGGCATGTGTGTGCCTGGATTCACAAAAACACCTTTCATCATCTGCCAGGATATGACCACTGCTGCAGTTGGTATACCTACCCAGAGCACAAACTGGAACAGCTTGGCCAGAGCTTTAGGCTGCAGTTCTGCTGTGCTCTCTGGCTGTTGACCTGTGTGTGCCTGTTGACCTGTGTGTGCCTTGGGCTTGACGGTCATGGCATGAGGTAGGGTAAGCAGAGGTTGGTGTTCAGTGTTGTCAGCTTTCATCAGAAAAGCGCCTTCATACTCTATGGTGCAGTGAACATGTTTTTCTTTTCCCAAAATAAGGGAAGAAAATCTGGTGTCAGCTTTCTTAGCCTCTACCAGTATAAGCTCTGCGAGCAAGTCGGACTGGAGGGATCTCTGTTGCGTGGGAGGGGGAGGTGCTACAGCCACAGTTATTTTTTTTTTAACCTAAAAATAAATTTTCAAAGTCAGAACATGTGCAAACAAAGTGCCTAAGCACGTCTTCCACACCAGAAGCACCCTCCCACCCTCAGGAACCTTTTCATGGAGAAGTGCCCAGAGGATCTGCTTCCAGCCACTGTTTCTGGATCTGTCCTGCCTTTCACCCACCCTGGCCCTCTAGCCTATCTCCACCCACTCTTCATCCAGTTGCTTCCTCCTCAAGGTCTGAGTCTCCCTCTTGACCACAATGCTTGGGTTTGACTCTATGGTGTTCAGGAGAGAAGCCAAGATCCTGCCTCTCTTTATAACCACCAGCAGCTGGTGCCTACCAAGTGCTGGACCTGCCTAGACTGAATGTCCCAGTTGCACCCCCTCCAATCCCAGGCTTATGAGGTCAATCTTATCAGCAGCTCTATTTTATAGCTGAGGAAAAAGTGAGATAAATTTCCTCTTTGTATTAGAAAGTTTTTTATTTATTAAATTTGATCTTTTCCATTTCCATACACGTATTCACTGCATTCTGATTATTCCCATTCCCTACCCTTGTCTTCCTCCTTCCCCTAGCAACCCCCAAGCCCCTTTTCTCTCACAAGTCTCTTTTCCTTTTTTTTTTTTTTTTTTTTTTGTTTCTTTTTGAGACCCAATGAGTTTGACCGGGGCCATCGGTCTGACTGTGGGTTGGTTATTTTCCAGAATCAGAATTTTTTTACTACCTGTGATAAAATTGATTTATTTGAATTAGAAGTTGGGATTAAAAATCTCACAAGGGATTTCTTGATCTGTTTTCTAATGGAAGATTTTGTTGAGTTCTAGGAATATGTGAGAGAGTCTAGTTGCCCAAAATTCAATAGCGCATGGGGAAGACAAACAAACAAACAAACAAAAACCCCTCACAGAAACCCCTCAGCCCAGAAACCCAGGTCATTCACCACCCATGGTTCCAAAGGGAGATGTATGTTTCAGAGTACATAACTTCCCCTTCATGTTGAGAAGGAGAGAGAGAGAGAGAGAGAGAGAGAGAGAGAGAGAGAGAGGAGCCTAGCAAGGCACTGCTCCCTGTATTATCTAGAAAAATGGAATGATAGATTTTGGCAGTCAATTTTCTCTTCCTGATACTACAGACCTCTCTATCCAAATTATTTCTCTGTTGTTTCAAATAACTAGGTGGCAAAAATAGGACTGGACTCATGGCTAATATACAATCTAGACAGCCAACAGATTGCCATTAAATTAGCCCGGGGGCCTGACAGACCAGCTCTTTCTGACCCCAACTGCTTGCAGCATTCCTTATTAGTGCTAAACCCAGGCAAATTATCTCTGCTAACAAAGGGGGTTAATCTGCCTCTCTGCTGGGACTCTGGAAGCAGCTCTGAGGTTGAGTGGGGGCACAGCCAGCCTGGCAGCTGAGCTCCATGCTTGCAAGGCAGAAGGCGGGAAGGTGAGGGCACTGCTGTGCCAGGCAGTTGCCTAAGGCATCATTTAAAGTAATAATTGAAGACACTGGGAGGTCACCCCTTTAGGGAGTCCTTTCAAACAAATAAGAAGCCCAAGCCATAAATTACATCAGCAGAAGGATGGGGGAGTGGAGAGGATCAGGGAAGGATGATGAAGAGAGTGGGAGGCCTTTTCACCATTCAAGTTTGGAAAATCCAAGCTTTCTACACGTGTCAGTGCCCCTCCCCCTCCCATTATAAAAGATTGACAGAAACCTAAATAAATATACAGAAACAAGTGAAAGTGATCTCTAAAAAAATGTCATTAAATTGTTTCTTTCAGTGAAATTCCAAGTAGGTAAGAAAAAAAACCCTACTGTAGGCTCTAACTCTAGCATGAGCATAATGCAGCTTAAATTTCTACCTGAAAACAATGAGGCAAGACATTGAGATGCACTTAGTGTTCTATCAGAGTGCATCTATATCAGGGCAAGTGTTCCTCCTTTTTCTTTAAAGTATTCACACCATTTCCACATTTTCTTTCCATGAAATAACAATATTTTAAAGTAGAAAATGCTTCAGACAAACTTTATGTTTATTTTATATATGTTACTTCACGCAAGGAAAATTGGATACAAAGTATTTACTACAGTCTGACCATTAAGAAATATAATGAATGAGAGCAAGAGAAAGAAAAATGGAGGGAGTATAGCTGTGTGTTGCAGGCAAGTCAGACCCTTTCTCTCTCCTCTCTCTGTCTCTCTCTCCTCTCTCCTCTCCTCCTCTTCTCTTCTCCTCCCTCCACCTTTTATCTCTTCCCCACCCTGGCTTGTGGTTGCAGTGTCCCAGACTGAATAGAAGAAAGGCTCCTGACCAAATCAAGAGTTTGATATTTTCCCATTTTTCTCTTGCTTCCTTCTTTTTCATCAATCAATGTGGCTGATGCAAAATCAGTGGTGAGCTTATTGGTCATTTAATTTCATTTTCCCA